GTGTTTTAGTTGGACTTGTTTAATTTATGTCCTTATTTATCACGCATATATTTCGTACTCCACAAGTTTTAACTGTTAAATTTAAAAATTCCCCTAACGAAAAAAATTATAGGGAAACATATTTAAAACAGCGATATAGCTAATCAATCCTTTATGATCCACTCCCCTTGCTCAATATAGAGTGACATCTAGTTTACTTCCTACAATATTCTTGGTCTTCATTTTCTCAAGTCAACTGATTTAAGAACTTTGTTTACCGCATAACATTAAAATATTAACGACTAAAAATCATTTTACCGGTTACCCAACTTCATTACTGATACGAATAGTACAGGTTCCGGATATTACATGAGAGGGCAACATTTTTCTCATCCCTTGTCGATCTACACATATTTTGTCAACAAGGGAGAGCTTTGGGGAACATGTTTAACATAATACATAGCAAAATAAAAGGTCGCCCCAGATCAGACCTACAAAAGACCATCCTACCATCCGTTGCTCCTCTTACTACCGATCACTTGCCTTCTTATATGGGCATTTTACAAGTGGCGCGGTTATGATCCACCCCACCACATCTCGTGCAAGTCCTCTTCCTCTTGAAACGACCAGATTGCTGAAAAAAATAATCTTTGCAGTTAATAAGAAATTTCGCAGGTAAAAATTAAATTGGTTTCTGTTCCTAACCCTTATTTCTCCGGCGGATAGTATCCTGCTCTTCCTTGGCCTTCCTGGAGGCCTGCGTGTGTTGGGCGGGAGCAGTTTGAAGGAGTCTGATCCACCTACGTCGAGATGGTTAATGCTCACGGGGTTTATCCCACCTGCATACGCCTTCTTCCAGTAAACGCTGTTGTACTCGACAACCAATAAGTCTTCCACCTTATGAGCTTGGTTTAGCGCAGCAGCAAGTGCGTGGACACAAGGGAGCCGGAGCTTATCAAATTCCTTGCATGAGCAGCTCTTCCTCTTCAGATCAACACGGTGAAACATCCCCAAGCTATCGCGCACTTCATACTCCTCTTCAATGATATGCCGGACATTGAATCCCGTTGAGAATTGGAAATTACGCGCCAAGATTGCCGTAACCTTAGGTGTTACCTCGTTTGTGTTTGCGTTTGCGGCCTCACGCCTGGAAGAGAACCAACCCATCATCATGGTCCTTATGTACTCCAAAAGAGCTACAATCGGGTACGCTCGTGCTTCCGCCAAAGCTGCATTGAGTGACTCGGCTAAGTTACTTGTCATGATGTTGTACCTTTCTCCCTCAAAGTGAGCCCTCGCCCAGTGCTCAAGACCGACGCGAATAAGATAGTCTGCGCATGCAATGTCCATCTTCTTGATTTCATTGAAGTGGACATAGAAGTCCTCTATCTTATAAGCCCTTGCAGCTCTTCCTATCAGGTAAATCAGGTGTTTCTTTTTGAATATTGTTTGAACGTTTCTTTGAAGATGCAGAATACAGGCGCAGTGATGCGCCATTGGGTAAACCTATATCATAGACAGAAAACATAATCAGTAAATTATTGCGTTTTCCGTAAACATTTAAAATAACGGGAAACCATCTAATTAACGGGAAAGAATAATAATAACTTTGAATTCTATTGTCTAATGCATGATAAGCAATAGGTGACTAACCCGTCTTATCCCGGCGTAGATTGAATTGTGACGATCAGAGGTGACTAACCCGTCTTATCCGGCACTACAGCCGATATTTGTCTGAAAAACCATGTCCAAGCCTCATCATTTTCGATATCCGCTATTCCAAACCCGATGGGGTAAATGTGGTAGTTTTCGTCTTGCGCACTAGCAGTCAGAAGACATCCAGCATACTTTCCCTTTAGGTGTGTCCCATCAATAATCACTACCTTCCTCATGAAAGGGTACCCTTCAATGCTTGCGCCAAAAGAGAAGAAGAGATACTTGAACCTCTGCGCACCTTCGGGCGCTATCGTTGTCTCCAACGCCACCACAGTCCCTGGGTTAGTTGTCTGCAACATTTGCAGATAGGATGGGAGGCTTTGGTATGACGCCACCGCGTCACCCACTCCTTGGTTAATTGCTAGCTCCCGTGACCTCTAAGCCTTCCAGTAAGATATTGGGACGCTGTGATCGTGCCTTATTATGTCCCTAATAGCTCCTGGTCTTGGTCCAACACCAGCTGCAGGACCATACCTATGCTTAATCATATCTCCAACAAACTTGGAATTTGCATGGTGTCGGAACTCCCACCTATCAGCCACCGAACACGTGTGGATGTTATCTAAAGTCCTCACCTCGAAGCTTGCAGATCCTCCCATCTTCGCCGCATACACTCTCCATGCACACGCTGCTCCCCTACATTGTAGTACCATTTTCCCTGGCTCTGACTTCTTGATGAGGAACCTAAACTTGTTTGTTATTGCATGTAGGGTCATATGGAGTTTGAAGGCTTCCCTGCTCTCAAATATCTTCCCCACAAAAAGCTCTCCTGTTGTCTCATCTGCCCCACGTCCTAACAAGCACAAATAAAATCGTATTCATTTCACCATACTAATAGTACCGGTAATCCTTTCGTTTTCAGTAAATATTTTAGTTTTCTAGTCTTTTACAGTTTAACCGTAAACTAAGTACTTTCCATAGCAAAGCATTGTATTTTTACAATGTATCATTTTATCCTCAAGTTTTAAAAATATTTTAATACCTCCAACTTCAATACCACAAAAAGGTTGCCTGATAGTTTCCTTTCCTTGAATGAACTTTCTATGGCCTCTGCTACCCCCCGCCTCGTCAAATTCTTGACTCAAGTTTCGCATCCAGGGCAATGAAGCGTCATCCTCAGCAACAGGGTCGTCAATTGCCAACGCTAGCGACAGCTGTGTCGCTGAGCCGGTACCTGATAATGCATATGTTATCGCATAACTATTGTTTTAACGGGTAACTAAATAATTAACATAAAATAATACTGTAAACGTTAAGATCATTACTCATATTTGATGCATTTTCTTCAGTCAGCAGGTGATCTCCAAATTGGAAATTTGAAAAAGCTCCAATTTGAAATGGTCTCTCTACCGCCTCATCACTCATCATTACTCCCTTACCCTTGTCCCGTATTATCTCATCCACTTCATTTCCTGTTGCCCCTAGTAATTAGTGTTCACACCTTTCGGTTACGTAATCTTATCTTCTTAACGTATAATTTGATCTTTATCCTGTAATAAAATACTATTACCTAACGCGAAGGTGAAATCTTCAGTTTGAACTCCCAGGTTAGTTTCCTCTGATGCTCTTATATCACCCCCTGTTATTAGTGCCCCCGCCTGGTTAAGAGGGATGCCAGAAGAGTCCTCTGACGAGTCTAAGTTTACTGTCATCGTCGGGCCAAGCTGTAGATCATTGTCGCCACACCCCAGGGCCGTCTGCTCCAGTATGCTCATTTCATCAGCCGTGCATATTCCCCTAAGTATTTTCCCGTACACAATCAGGTACCCTCTCGCAGTCAAATCTGTAAACATAAAGCACATGAATGTTGTCAGTTAATATATGTGTTCGCTAGTTTTTTAACAGACATCGTCCCAGTTAAATATGATATTACTCGATACCTACATTTTTTACCTGCTAATATAATATTTACCTTAAATATTTATTTTATCAGATACATCCTTTTCAGATACAACATACATTTACAGATAAATACTTTGTTACCGGTAAAGAATAAATTTACCTTCGATACTCACTAAACCGCTGGCTGGAATTTGTTGTTCAGAAGCGATTATTCCATCTTCAACATCCCTATGCCTCCTGTAGTTGTAAACATCCTCTCCACCCAATGTCACATACAGCTCCTGCCACACATTGTCAACCCTAACAGCCATGAACACAGCCACGTCTTCGTCCTCATTTATTTCGATGGGTGGTGCAGAGTACTCCTCAGGCTCTTTTTCAAGGTCTGGGTAGTGGTAAGTCAGCAGCACGGGGGCGTTGACTCCATACAGTGGGTCTACGTTGAACTTCTCCCTCACCATACCAACAAGTGAGATGAAGCTCTCGTTCTCCTTAAGCTCGATGTCAGCTCTTATCATGGTTTTATCCACGTTGAACCTCCATGCGCCTTGAGCGCCTCGTTCCCAGTCTCCAACAACGACACGAACTTGGTGCCTCATCATCCAAACCTGTTACGGTGTAACATTACATTTATCAGGAACTCAAAACTTTTAAGGGTATCGAACAACCTTTTCTACGTAGGATATATACACAAAGCTTTGAACTTACACTCCGAGAAAAACGATTTCTGTCTCTTGAGTTTATCTTTTTCAAACACCAAATCACAGCTTTCGTTCTCCCTCTTTCTCCCCCACTTTTTTTTTGTTCTGATAACTAAACTTTTACCCAACTCGACCTTCTTTTATCTTCAAATTAGTATGGTATTACGTACACTTAACTTTTCCGAGGTAGCTTAGGATGTTGCGCTTAAACAGAAATCCCGGATAACCGAGGAAACGTGTGTTTTTAAAATTGCACACAAGTCGTCCTAGGTTTCAGAGTAGAGTAGGCACCTATTAGAATCGGCATGGATATCTTGTGTCAGTCGACTGACACAAGCGCCGAAGATCAAATCTTTCGTGCGAGGTTAATTCGGTCTTTTTACCTTGGTCAGGGTATATCTCGGGCCCTATATGTCAATCAATGGATACTTCTCCAATTTGGACCTCTATTTGGGGCAATACACTAAATCACTCAAAAAAATTTAAAAGTTTCCAAAAGCCTAAAATGTGAGGCCGCTTTATTCAAAAACAAAAATAACACGATGTTTCCTCGCACGCACGTGGCACCTGAAAAAAATCAAAAACCCGCGGCGCGTGACGAACAGTCGGTAAAGAAGTACTAACATGACAGCCAATCTTCTGTCACCACCAACAGAACGCTGCCACGTATTAAAATTTGGCCGTCTGTCTCCCTCAACTTTCTTTCCCCTTTCCATAAACCCTCTCTTTAGGGTTTCATCTTCAAGCTCTCACTCACACCACACCATCGATTTTACTCTCACTGTTCACTATCCAAAGGACAGATTCGAATTCAGCTCAAGCTCAAGCTCTGTTATGCGTTGATGTAGCAAAACAAATAAAAAAAAATGGTTCGTTGTCTCTCATCGTGCTTGTTCGCCGTGGTTCTGGTCATGCTTTCGATTCGAGAAACGTGGTCGCAGTTAGGTTCTGGTCCGCACATTACCGACGTCAATATACTGTTGCCTCCGAGGATGAAGAACCCAGTGGAGTATCGGCTTCAAGGAAGTGATGGCTGCTTCAAATGGTACCGCCTCTTTAGCTCAGCTATTTGTGAAGCTTAGATACTATTTGTGAAACTGTAGTTATGGAATCGTTGCCTTTTCTGTTCAGTAGGTTGATGAATCTCATCTTGTCTGTATCCAGCTTTTGAGTAACTATGTAGCTCTCTTTGGTTAGGAATGGTGTTGATTTTGTGTTTGGTTTTCTGATATGGCAGGTCATGGGATCATCATGATATTCTGTCTGTCACGCCTGAGTTTAATTCGAGCAGTCATTGCTCCACCAGCGCGCGTCTAAGATCGATTTCACCTTATAGCGGCAGGAAGGAGACTGCAGTTTACGCAACTGATATACAGACGGGGATGGTGATTCGCTGCAAGGTGTTTATTGACAACTTCTCACGGATTCAGATTTTTCATAATTCTATCAAGCTTGATCTTGATGGTCTTTCCATGCTTAGAGTCCGCGCTTTTGATAATCAAGGTACACTGCGCTACTTGCTTTCTTTCACTCTCTCCTTTGATGTTGTATTATTTTTTGCTTAAATTATTATATGCAGAAAACGAATTCTCCTCACTGGTGGGTCTACAATTCATGTGGAAGCTAATGCCTGAAAGTGGTGGAACAACGCATCATCTTGCTCATGTGCCTTTGAAAGATTCTCCTTTGACTGATTGTGGGGGACTCTGTGGCTACCTGGATATCCAGAAAAAGCTTGAAGATAGTGTATGTATATCTATAGACTGTGAATTACTTCTGAGTGTTATAGTTTCATGGATGAGTGTTCTAATGCAGCATGGTAATTGCAGGGGGTATTTGCAGATTTGTTTGTGGTCAAGGGCACCAAAATCGGACATGAGAAGGTTTCAGTTCATCTCTTGGAGGCACCGCTTACCCATATAGCCGATGAAATAGTACTAACGGTAGCAGAGGCCATGTCACTTGAACCTCGTTCACCAGTTTATGTCCTGATGGGAGCTTCTTTTGGTTACACTTTAAAGGTCATGCGTGGGAATGTTCCTCAAGGTTTGTCTGCATCTTTAGGATTAAGCAATGTTTGAGTTATTCGATAACCTTATGTTTTAAAGCTTAGGTTGTTTGATACACATGCCATATATCATACCTTAATCTTGCTCATAGTTAACTATATGGATTATTTTCTTTAGGATGTCTCAGTTGTGTTTGTTCATAGTCCAAATATATTACTTGCCATTGTTGCTAGAGTGGCACGCTATGTCTGGTAACTTTGGTTCTTATCGGTTTACTTTTATTCTATTTGCAGCTGTGCATTTACCATCATCACATCATAGATGGTCTGCGTTGAACTCCTCGGTTGTTCAAGTGGATTCTTTGATAGGTCTGACTAAAGCATTAAGCTTGGGGGTAACAACAGTTGTTGTTGAAGATACCCGGGTTGCTGGCCACATTCAAGGATCATCTATTAATGTTGTCACTCCAGATGCTTTTATATTGTACATATCACCTTGGTCGACGTCAGGGGATCCTACTACAGAACTGAAATCTTTTCCGTCATCTATGCATTGGTATGTGGTCTCTGGTCGTCAGTATCTAATTCAGATGAAGATTTTCTCTGGAAGACCTGATGCACATGAAATTTTTATAACTGAGGTATTTCCCTTTTTCCCTTACCCTTCTTTGCATTGACAGGAAAAGAAGTGCTTGCTTAATGTTTCCTTGCCTTTAAAATTTCTTTGCTGTAGAATCTGGTTTGATTTAGTTTCTCTCCTTTGCCCAGCCATGTCCGAATGATCTATTGTAGATAATACTCTTCATGATTTTTCGTATGTTCAACATAATAAGTTCCTTTGTCTTGTTCGCAGACGGATGATATCAAACTGTATGGAGAAGAGACAGATTACTGGAAAATCGTCTCAGTGCCAGATGATCTTTCCTCTGAATATGGTTGGCGAAATTCTAGAATTTTGAAAGCAGTCTCACCAGGATTAGGAGAGCTGACAGCTACATTGACTTACTTCAATGGGCATCAGAATTCAAAAGAGGCGAGAGAGCTATATTTTCTCTCTTTATATACCATTTTGTCTCTTTCCTTTAGCTCAACAGCTTCTACCCTGACAGGTTCTCAAGGTTGTCCAAGACATTATGGTTTGTGAAAAGGTGCAGTTCACATTGAACAGTGAAGATGACACATCTAAGATTCTACTCCCTTGGACCCCTGCTGTATATCAAGAGATGGAGCTACTTGTGACAGGAGGTCAGTTCCCAAGCTATGGTTCTGGTGACTTGTTCTTTTTCAGTTTGAAAACTCATGCTGACTTGATGTTCTTTTCAAATTAGGTTGTGCGAAAGCATCGAGTGACTACAAATGGTTTACTTCAGATATGAGCATTTTGTCTGTGTCAGCTTATGGAATTATCCAGGCAAAGAGGCCTGGAATAGCCACTGTAAAGGTGGTGTCGACTTTCGATTCACAAAATTTCGATGAGGTACATTGGCTGATTCCACAAATAGAGAATATATTTATTTTAAATTCCAAGAGAGATGGATCATGGATCCAAATGGTCCTACCTTTTTTGCGACTTATCATGCTATGGTTCTACTCTTTAATATGGTGATTCAACTGGTTATATTATCTTCATAGGTTATTGTTGAAGTTTCCATTCCATCATCTATGGTTATGTTGCAATACTTTCCAGTGGAGACAGTGGTTGGATCACACCTGCAAGCAGCTGTCACAATGAAGGCTTTAAATGGTTATGACCGAACTTGTCTTTTGTTATTTCCGGTGTTTATTAGTCATCTCTTTTTATGTTTTGCCTTGGCTTTTTTTTTATATTTTGTTAATTTGGAGATCTCACATATCAGGTGCCGCGTTCTCTAGATGTGATGCTTTCAATTCATTGATAAAGTGGAAGACAGGGAGTGACTCTTTTGTTATAGTTAATGCAACATCCGAGATGATGATGTTGGAAGAATTAAGAAGCACGGAGTCTAGTCCTCCTTGTTCTCGGACTTATATATATACTTCTTCTCCTGGCCGCACAGTGCTACAAGCAACTCTGGCGAAAGAGTTCCATTATTTTGATAAGTCATTAAGTGAATCAATTGATTTGAAAGCAACCTCAAGTATCGGGGCCTATCTGCCACTTACTATCAGACAAGATAGTGATGGGAATCATCATGGTGGATATTGGTTTGATAAGACACAAGAAGAAACTGATATTGGGATCAGTAACATCTATCTTGTACCTGGGACATATGCTGATGTGATGCTTCTGGGGGGGCCCGAAAGGTGGGATGACAATGTTGAGTTCACCGAGACTGTGACTAAAGTGAATGAAGATAAGGAGGATCTTACAAATGGAGATAACATCCATCACAACTTTGACCGCCATGTTAACATGTTTAGAGTTTCGTGCCAGACGCTTGGTTCTTATGTAAGTTTCAAGCGTCGTATGCAATTATTTTGTTCTTACTTTTTGTAGCTACTGTGAAAGATGACATTGTAATCTCTTCTCCGATTGTATTCATCCAGAAATTGGTCTTCCAGCGTGGAAATCTGGTGGGGGTAGACCATCCGTTACCTGCAGTAGCAGAAGCTTCCTTATTTGTCCTATGCAGCTTACCATCCTCTGTTGTGCTCATTGTTGATGAACCTTGTATGTTCAATATCTCCCACAGTTTGGATCATTTAGAATTTCTCATTTTAAAGCTAACAAACTTGATGTTATCTATGTTATTTTGTAGTTAACAAGCTTGATGTGATTAGAGCTACTAGTCTAGCTGACAGGGCACCAGGACGACTTCGTGTAACTCCTGTGACTGTAGCAAATGGGCAAATAATTCGAGTTGCTGCTGTTGGTATTAGCGACACTGGAGAAGCTTTTTCAAACTCATCAACTCTTTCACTCAGGTGGGAACTGGGTAGTTGCGACAATTTGGCATCTTGGGACGATGATTATAATTCAAAAATGACAAAGTCTAGCTGGGAGAGATTTCTAGCTCTTCGTAATGAATCTGGATTGGTAAACACATAAACCAATTCCTTCGTCATTATTTCATTCTTCAGATGTCAATCATTTGGCTTTAATGTAAATTGTTTTAACAGTGCACTGTCCGGGCTACAGTTTCTGGTATTGATCATTCTGGAAAAACCCAATACTCATCTCTGCTTCCAGAAGTATCTGAAAGTACTCTCACAGATGCTGTACGCTTACAGGTAGGCAATTTCTAAGACTTACTACAATAGTTTTGTTCATTGCTTAAAAAGTTTCATTAGTTTTCGTTATCTTTGTTACAATTTCAGTTGTTTACCATTTCAGTTGGTTTCGACACTAAGAGTCACGCCAGAGTTCAACCTGGTTTTTCTCAATCCTAATGCCAAGGTAACTCCCATTCTTTAACAAGTGGGTCCTTTTAAATCATGAATTGATTGTATTGAGTATTTGCATTTTCCAATATTTTTTTCTCTGGTTCTAATTGGTTTGAGAGTACTAGAACTAGATTTGTAATGTTTCAGAAGTTTTTATATTGTAGGTTAATTTGTCAATGACTGGAGGAAGCTGTTTGTGGGAAGCAGTTGTGAATGATTCTCGTGTAGCAGAAGTGATTAGACCCCCATCTGGCCTGCAATGCTCGCAAATGACCCTGTCCCCAAAAGGGTTGGGGACTACACTTGTGACAGTCTATGATATTGGTGTCTCTCCTCCGCTTTCAGCTCTTGCGGTGGTAAGTTGTTACTCTGAACTTATCACTATAATCTTGTGGAAATTCATAAATTTTCTTATTCACGTTGAACATGAGTGTCATGAGTCACGAGTCGCTCATTCTATTTTTTTTTTTATCACAGATTAAAGTTGCAGACATAGACTGGATAAAAATTGCATCTGGGGACGAGATAAGTATAATGGTATTTCCCTTTTATTATAAATTCTTTTTTGGTTACGCATTGCTTTTTTTATCTTTGGTATGGTATTCTTATCCTTAATTTAAATGTGGCAGGAAGGAAGTACACACTCCTTTGATCTACTCACTGGCATTGACGATGGGACAACCTTTGATTCGTTGCAGGTTTAAGACGAAACTTTATAAAATATTTTTAGTTATACGCTCTTATTGTAGCTATGTTATGGAAATATTCTACAAGCATTGACTATCTAGCTTCACCAATCTGACACACCTAAACTTTGGATATATATAAAGAGGATCAATAGAACGAAATTTTCTGCTGTACTACAATGTATCCTTATTACTTTTTCTCTTACTAGCTGTTCATATAAGTGGTTGATTTGTTGAAATGTCGATAAATGCAGTACCCGCTAATGGATATTATGGTGCATATTGAGGATGATCTCGCGGAGCATATTTCAGTCAATAATAACCCACTTTCTGTTGGTGAACACGTGGCAACTTCTTCATTCAAAGTAGCTGCTAGACGCCTGGGAATCACAACACTATATGTGAGTTTATTTCTTGACCCTTTCATTGCTGTCATAATTATGTTCTGGAACAAGATACATCTGAAACAATGCCTTTTTAATAGGTTAGCGCGAGACAACAATCAGGAGATAAGGTGGTGAGCCAAACTATTAAAGTGGAAGTTTATGCCCCACCAAGACTTCACCCACAAGGAATATTTCTTGTTCCTGGTGCTTCTTACGTGGTATGATGGAAATGTTGTATATTTCTTGGGTAACCACAATCTTAATTATGTTTCTCTCTTCATGTTTTGTATTGATCACCTTTTTGAGTTATATAGCTCACTGTTGAAGGAGGCCCAACCATGAATGTTTCTGTTGACTACACAACTGTGGATAGCCAAGTTGCAAAGATCGAGAAATCAGGACGCCTCTATGCAACATCACCTGGCAACACGGTGCGGACAAAATTCCTTGACTATGCATTTCTCAGTATTAATCAAACAAATTAGAACAGGGTTTGGCTATTAAATTATTCAACTCTACCCAAAAGATTCGGCACCTTGACCCGGATTCTCTTATGACCAGACAATCTATGCAACAATATATGGGAGTGAAGGTACTGTAGTTTGTGAAGCAGTTGGAAATGCCGAAGTTGGACTTCCTGCTACTGCAACGCTGATAGCTCAAAGTGATACTGTGGCTGTTGGCCGTGAAATGCCTATATTTCCATCCTTTTCTCAGGTGAGAATCATTAGCCAGAAAGAACGTGCTACTTAAATCAACTCTGAAGTCTATTCTATACTGATTTTGGTTACATTATCAGGGAGATCTTTTGTCTTTCTATGAGCTCTGCAGAGCATACCGATGGACTATCGAAGATGAGGAGGTTCAGTTCTGTGTCTCTTTTTATTGTGGATATTATAATCTATTTCTGATTCCCATGTAGCCATGTTTGTGATAAAAAGCTATATTTTTCCATGTTAGGTGTTGAGTTTCCGTGTACCGTCTATTAACGTGGAAGACAATGCTGGCTTTGTAAATGTCATCCAAGGAAGGTAAATCTTCATGAGCTCTGTAGCACATGTGCAATTCATTTGGTTCTTTGTATTAAAAAAGTATTGCATGACCAAAAAATAACGGATAATCAAATACAAACCATTGTCCAATTATGGTAGATAAATATTTTCAGGTCGGGTTAGCCCCTGTCGTTAGTACTCTTATAAGTTACTTTTCACTACACTAGAAAACATTAATAAGGCATCATCATGCTTCGCATCGTTTAGCTTTGAAAGGTAGCGTCACGTTCAAAATTTCTGGAACAAGGTTATCTACTCAACTTGAGAAAGGGATGGCAGTTTGTTCTTAATAACTTGACCTTTGTATTGGTATATTCTATTCAACTGAGGTCTATGCAGATTATTTGGTAGCACATAAGCTAGACTAGTCATCAAATTTCTAATGAGCAGGTTTATCTTCTTTATTTCAGATCAGCTGGAAAAACCAGAGTAACCATTGCGTTCTCATGTGATTTCGTGTCTCCTGGCTTGTACTCCGAATCTAGAACATACGAAGCATCAATAGTTTTATCTGTTGTGCCTGATCTCCCTCTTTCTCTCGGGGTTCCTATGACCTGGGTTCTTCCGCCTTTTTACGCGTCATCTAGTCTATTGCCATCATCTCCTGAAACACCGACGCACAAGGATGGTCAAAGTCACAGAGGCAATGTAGTATATTCCCTATTGAAAGACTGTAATTCTCGGGCTGACGTCGAACTAGATACCATATCAATTAACGGCGGAAGCATCAAAACTACAGAAATCAACAATGTTGCATGTATTCAAGCCAAAGACCGCACAAGTGGAAGGATCGAGATTGCTGCTTGTGTGAGGGTTGCAGAGGTATTCTGAATGTGGAAATTTTGTAGCCGTTCAATTCGCTATTCTTTTGGTTTTTGCATCATTTATCTTCTATTTGTTTAATTTGTTGGTAACATCGTACTCTGTCAGGTTTCTCAAATAAGAATTAAGAGTGAAGGGATCCCTTTCTACGTGGTAGATATTGCTGTTGGTGGTGAACTTGAACTTCCAATAAATTTCTATGACACTTTAGGTAACGCTCTCATACATTATTTTTGTTCATTTTCTTGATGTATTTTTTTCTTAATACCTTTTGTTGTTTTGTTTTGGAAAGGAATCGGTTTTCTCGAAGCACATGGTGTTACCACATACAACGTTGAAACCAATCATCGTGATGTTGTGTCTATTAAGACGGTCAATGACCAAACAAGTATCTATATTAAGGTACGTGTTCATCCTTATAATCAACTTTTGCTGATACATGTGTTTATCTTTTGTCTATTCTGATGGATACTACATGTACGCTTCTCTGCTCGACTACTCCTCTCTAATATCGTTCTCTTTAAAATGAAGGGAATAAAACATGGTAAGGCTTTAATTCGGGTCTCCATTGGCGGCAATCTCAGGAAAGCAGACTACGTTCTGGTATGGGCTACTATCATGAATATTGTTGTAACTTTCTGTCGTGTTTTGGTATGTATACATCTGTAATGATATTTGCGACGAGCTTATATTGAACGTGTTTCGCTTTTCTTAGGTTTCAGTTGGGGCACATATTCATCCTCAAAAACCTGTCATTCACACCGGAAATATACTGAATTTCAGCGTTACAGGTAAAATGTCAAATTAAAATCTGCATGAAAAATACAATTATGATACCGTCCTGCTAAACAGACACTTGCAATGTGATGTAGGGGCTGATCATCAAGTCTCTGGTCAATGGGTTTCATCGAACAGGAGTGTCCTATCTGTCAATGCCGTATCCGGCCAAGCTAAAGCAATCAGCCAAGGGTCAGCTCACGGTAATTACGGTTTATGATTCATGCTTTTTCAGTGATCAGTTGGATTTCTAGAGAACACTATCACTATGAGATGTTATTTTTGTTGCATCTGCACAGTTACATTTGAAGGTCGTGATTTGAAGCTGCAAACAAAAGTCACAGTGCTACTTGGAAACACCATATATGTTGACTCTCCTAGAGAAACACTAACAAATGTCCACGTTCCTGAAGAAGGATATAGCTTTCCTGTAAAATTCAGGTCAGTAAGCTTTTAATGTTGCATTTTGTAAAAACATATAGACAACAACGTATTCATCAATGATAATATAAACTGCACCAGGGAGAAAACGTTTGTGAACGGAAACAGGAACACATTTAACTGCCAAGTAGACCCTCCATTTATAGGGTATGATGCGTAGTTTCTTTCAGTGGATATACATGCGTGTTTATATAAATGCATGATCTGGTTCTGACTCATATATTGCATTCAAGATATGCAAAGCCATGGGTGGATCTTGACTCTGGAGACACTCGTTGTCTTTTCTTCCCATACTCACCGGAGCATCTGGTTCACTCAATTTCTAGATCAAAAGACACGAAACCGCATGTGTCCTTATCCATTAATGCTTCAGTTAAAGAAGGTCGACATGTGTCAGGATCTGCATCTGCACTTCTTATTGGAGGATTTTCTGTAGCATGGCCAAACAAGGTTATTTAAGTTCTTAAATAATCGTTCATCAAATCTTTCATTTCAGCATATATATGATTTATGTGAGTTTGACTTGGCAATATCTTGCAGTTGAATATAAACCCGGATTCAAACAAGACCACAATTTCAGTACTAGGGAACACCGGTAAGATCCATATATCAATTGTTAGTTCATTTTATTTCCTTATACAAAGGGTGCTTAAAACTACTCATTGCAGATGTTCAAATTCACTGGCAAAACAAAGCAAGGTTATCGATCAGCTTGATCAAGAGAGAAGATTATGGTATGGCAGGGCGTGCACTATACGAGGTGCTTTTACTCGTGAAAACCCTATTCATAATATCGTACTCAATTCTGTACGTAAAATATTATCAACAGTTTAGTAAGATAATAATATTCATCAACCTTTTTCAGGTGACTGTGGTAAAAAGATTAGAGAAATTCACAGATATTATACTCATCACTCTCCCTGCTACTGGTGAGCTTATATAATTGGCTCTGTTTCATACTCTAGAAAGGATTTGTTTCTGTCACTTACCATACTGATGCGATTATATAAACTTTTTTGCAGGCCAAAGTGTAGAAATCGATTTCTCCTATGATACGGGTGGATCCATAGTAACGCCGTCTGTGAGAAAGGATGGATACCCTCTTTTGTTTAAGATACTGTGGGGTGTTTTAGTGGTTATTATATCGGTGATCATCTTGATGAAAGTGATTGATAGACCAATTGGTCCAGCTGGAGCCAGTAGAGCTGCGACAAATGGTGTAGCAACAACAGCAGGAGCACCGGGAACACCTGAAAGAAAAAGTGGTGCAGTGATATACCATGAGGAATCTCCAAGAACACCATCACCATTTATGGAGTATGTGAAGAGGACTGTGGATGAGACTCCTTACTACAGAAGAGAAGGAAGGAGGAGGTTTAATCCCCAAAATACTATGTAGAATTGTTTCTGTTATAAGTTGTAAACTCTGTTTTTGTTTGTAAACCACGAAACCTTTGGAAATGTTTATATCATTTGTGCATTGTTATTTCTTGCTCACTTCGGAACGAACTGGATTCGTTATTTTCTAAACCAGTTATTTGGGGTTTTGTTTGATAAGTTTTTACCTTTTAGATGATTTTGGATAAACTTTAAAAGAGCTGATTTTATCAGATTGTTTGAATTCATGAAAAAGTTTGATTGAGGTTCACGTATGTTTACTGAAAGTCTTTGAATTTTGACAGTCATCTTGTACAGTTTTATATAGCATGAATGACCAATTTGACCTGTCTTTAGTTGTATGAATTTTTAGCTAAAAATGGCCCAAGTTTATTAGTAACGTTTGGATTTGTGTTACGACAAATGCCATCTAGTTTAGAACAAAAGAAAATGGTACAGTAAATTACCTACAGTGAAACCTACAGTAGAACTTTTATAAATTAATAATATTGGGAGTTTGAAATTTTATTAATTTATAAAGACATTAATTTACAAAAACTTATTTAGATTTCTTATTTTAAAAATATATTTACTTTAATATAAGAAAAATATTAGATTTTGATTTATAGACATTATTTTTCTTTTCTTTTTTTAAAGTTGACATTTACATTAATTTATTATATTATTTGGTGTAGATAATATATATTTTATAGAATTTAAATGTGGTTTTAGATATAATACTGTTAAATCCATCAAAATATATTAAATGTTAAAAAATATATAATCATAATTCCATTGTAAATATAAAAAAAACAATATAGTGATATTTTTTTATCTATATAAAATATGTATATATAGATAAATTATCGATTTATAATTTTATTGGGACCATATATTTACATAGATTTTTCTAAAAAGTATTATCTTATTATTTTATTGATTTGTGTCAAATTTTGAACCGGCCCAAATTGGGACCGAAATTTTTTATTAATTTATAAAAATTATTAATTTATTGAATATTACTTTATAGAGGTTATACTGTATATGGAACTCAAAGCTTTCGTATAATGTTGTATTTGGTTTGGCCGGCTTGAATAAGAAGAACAAAATTCGTTGCGGGTTATCTCGAAAACCTTTTATTGATCAGATGAGAGAGGAGTTACGACATGTGTATGAATAAGAGAGAGAAAAAGAAAGTTCGGCCATAAAGATTTATAAAAAATGAAAAACCTAGTTTCTAACCGTCAATTTTCATGGTCAAGTCTAAATGTCTCTCTTCATTGCCATTGACAGTTTTTTTTATACATAAACCCCCTCCTCTCTTAGCCCTCAGTCGGTTTAACTTAATGAGTTGGGTCGAGCTTAATGGGCTGAAGAACTGGGTCAAGTTTTCGGGCCGAAATTCTACTCGTCGAGCAATCAACCCGAGCTCATGACGCCTAGTTGATCCGACTTCATGGGCTGAGTTCTTTATTCGACGGGTCTTGTGGAGGGATATAATCCATCTTCAACAGAAGATCTCCCCAGTTCATTTGTGAGAGATGTAGCCGATCTCAGTGAATTTGTGAGAATAGGTTTGAAGAATGAAGAACTCGGTCAAGGGCTTTTGCCTCAGAGAATTTGCTTTAGAGTGAATGTGGATGAATGGTACCATTCACTTGGTGAAGCTTACGCAGGTGAATTTTGACAAGCATGATTGTCATTCACTCGGCGAAGCTTTTGCCTTTAGGACAATTTGGTATGGTGGGAGTAGTTGATAAGATTGTCTCTTAGTCAGCCGGATGATCCTTCTTTGCAAGAATCAATGACCTTCAAAATCCGGTTTGATGTGGTTTCAGCCTGATTTGGATTCAGTTATTGTTGATCAATTTTTTGATTTGGACCGGGTGCCGGTTAACTCAAGAACCGCAATTATCGTGTCTAAACATGCGGGAAAAGAGGCAGCATCCTAGGTCCAATAGGCATAACGATGATGCCGCTTTAGAGAGTCTTGCTATTCTTCTATAGTTCTTCTCTTTATATCAAATAAGTAAGATTGTTTAAGAGATAAGTAAGATTTATGAGGAAAATAGTTCGATAAAAAAAAATTGAGGAAAATAGTTTTATTGATTGATTGATTATTCTTTTTCTGTAATAAGAACTACATATCTCTTTTATACTAAAGCACAAGTCACTTAACCAATGAAATTTTCACATTTGGCATATATTTTACAATTTAAATAAAAACAAAATAAATAAAAAACAAATCAAACAGAAAATATAAAGATGCAAGAACTAAACATTCCTAATTACATCTCGCCGACAGTTCCTCCTTCCAATCCCCACAATCACCATTTACCCGTATAATTACCTCTATTTTTTGAACTACCTACCTCTCTATCATATTTCTGTGACTGTCAATTTTAAACTAACACATTTTTTCTCCTTCTCTAATCAATCTATAAACCGGTGTAGTCATGTATTGCTTCTTTCCCAAGATAAGTTGTGATATGTTTTTTTTTTGCCCTCGCTTGATCTTTTTGGATCACACTCTTTTCTCTATTTTTACTACAATTTTTTTTTGTTAATTCGCTCACATGCAAAGTTTTCTTCAAAAAATTTAAGGTTATACTTTTTTCCAAATCCAAAAATCTGGGACAGAGGAAAAATTACTATATTGAAGTTTTCCACTTTCTATTTCACTCCTCCAGAAAACTATATTCTGTTTTGTAGCCTTTGCATGCTTGAGAAAAATTGTATTTCATTGCTAATTAATACTAACTAACTGATGCAGAAAAAATGTCAAAAGACAGATGAAAACCTGACTCTATTCAAAAAAGACTATCAACAAAAATAGAATTGCAGGTAAAAGTACGTATTCTATTTACTTTGTATTATAAAGAAGTATCCTTTTTACATTAATTGTTTCCATGAGATTGATATTTTATCGGCCAAAAAAAGTTATGATGATAAAACCTACAATATCATTTTTTTTTATTTATTTCTGTCAAAAGCTACTTTTGTTTTAAATGCCACTTGAACAAGTATATATTTATGAGATTATTTGCTCTCACACCCATTTGGGGGTCTATATTAGGTAAATGCCCATGATGGAACTGATCCATTTTATATAAAAAATTGTCCTTCCTTTTATATGCATGTGACTCTTTCTCCTGACGCACTCTCTCTCCTAACATTCTCTTTCCTTCGATTCCTCTTCTTTTTCATTCTCAAACTCTCTTATCATGTCAATATCTTCTTTTTTTGTGTAAAAAATTATTGTTGCAAAAAAATTTATCACTACTTTACTACTATTCTTATGAATCTAAATTATTTTAATTTCACCACATTCTGAAAAAAGCAACTTTGAAGTTTTTTCAAAATCGCCGAGATGTTAACACTTATATTAGCTGTTAAACAAATAATGTAGATGCCAACAAAAGTGTTAACTGGTAACAAATACAGTACCAAATGTATTAACAGAGGCATTAACTGTTAATAATTTTTGTAAATGTTAACAGATGTGTTAGCTGTTAACAAAGACATGTATTACAAGTGTTAACAGAGATGCTAGTTGTTAATAAATTTTGTAGATGTCAATACATGCGTTAGGTATTATATGTTAATAAATAAATATTCTTGAAGTTTCATTTCTCTATCAAAATGAGTAAACTTAAAATTCATTAACATATAAAATTGTAGATGAGAAAAAAATCAAGAAAAAATAGTGTAAAAAGAAAGAAATGAATATGAAAAAGAGATGTGTGAAAAATATGTGTGGTTTAAAGAAAGAGAGGAAGAATCGTTGGAGAGAGAGTGTCAGATATAGACAATAGGATTCAGAAGGGCATTTTTGTCTAACACCAACCAAATTGTAAGAAAAGTTGTTTAATGTCAACTCATGTATATTTGCCTAATATGGACTTCTATTTTGGGCGTTTGCCTAATTCTCTCTATATTTATTGGTTAATATACTAAATCAACATGTCTTAAAATTATGTATAAGTAGAGAAATTGGAATCAGATTTTCCACTTTATATAAGAAATATAATATCTTAACAAAACTCATAATTAGTATTAGTTTTACATTGAGTGTGCTCCAATAAAATTGGAAATTTGCGATACATTTGCAGCCCAAACTAGAAAAAAATCATGAGTTTGAGTGCAAATGTATTATCCATGCTTTCGTGAATTTCTGAAATTACGTGTACTTTAATAAAATTAAATTTGAATTTCAGCTTTAAACAATTCTCAATTTACAGCTTTTCAGTGTTCCTAACTATTGCACAAGAAACATACTAGAGCTCAAAATATAATTAGAAAAACATAATACAAGCTATACAAACCTTACAACCAATTAAAATAAGAGAAAATTACTAGAATGATATACAAAAACTTGTACATGACTAGAATAGTATACATTTTCTAAAGATTACTAGAATGTTTTTAGATTCCTAGTAAATTACAATAAACACCCTTGTTTAATTTTGTTAGTATTGATACAAATTTTAATTATTAAATCCACATCATAATTTTGACAATCCACGTCATTAACTAATTTGTGTCATCAACAGTTACACTGGAAAATCAACAGTCTCATATCTCCGGTGAACAAAAAAAAAAGTCTTAATGTCACATTCTTCTCCGTCACAACTTTCGTTAAACCCTAACCGATTACGAAATCACGAAATCACAAAATCATCTTCGTCACAACTAATACTTTCGTTTCAAACAGTGTTTCCGATATCGTAAATCATCTTCGTCGACCTTGTTAAACCCTAACCGTCTCCGATATCATCTTCATCGACATCCTCTTCTCCGCAAAAGTTTCGACGTAATCGTATCTACGACATCATCTTCTCATCTTCTCTGGTATGTTGTGCCTGAGTTTGATTTACGACGTGTCTGAGTTATAGATTATGTTGTTACTGAGTTATTGTATAGTGTGGCTGAGTTGAGTTTGATTTATGAAGTGGCTGAGTTATTGATTATGATCCGACTGNTCTACGACATCATCTTCTCATCTTCTCTGGTATGTTGTGCCTGAGTTTGATTTACGACGTGTCTGAGTTATAGATTATGTTGTTACTGAGTTATTGTATAGTGTGGCTGAGTTGAGTTTGATTTATGAAGTGGCTGAGTTATTGATTATGATCCGACTGAGTTATTGATTATGTTTTGGCTGAGTTATTGATTACTGTGACTGAGTTATATATTATGTTGTGGCTGAGTTATTTATTATTTATGATTTGGCTGAGTTATTGATTATGTTTTGGCTGAGTTATTGA